TTGGTATTAGTTTTGGCTTAAAGAAGAACTCCTCTAATCTCGATTTGTAACTCTGTGGTGTGAACTGTTGGCGCCGGTCTCGTCATATAAACGCTTCATCTACAAACAAGTACACAGCACAAAACTGCAACTATTAAACGATCCCTACGCAAATATAATGGACGGCTTTGCCCATGAATGGACAACGCCACCACGCACCGATACAAGTGGTCTGCATATGGACTTGGTGGCGGAGTTACATGAGAGTGGTTTCGAGCCACAGACTAGAGCTCGTTCGAATACATGGCCATGTCCAAGGCCAGAAAATTTTGTAGAACCACCCGATGAGCTGGAGAGTACAAAGGCCAGTAATCAACAATTGGCCGGAGGAGGTGAGTCGATTTCGTATTTTATGGGATTTTGAAACTCAAGTGATCCGACAAAATATTATGGAAGTCTTTGTATGTATGTTTTTGCGTTTATGGCTGTTATATCTCAACAACAAACTAAGAGTATATATTTTATACCCTCCACCATTCTATGGAGGGTATATTAACTTTGTCATTCCGTTTCGAAATACTCTTGATAGACCCTGCAAAGTATAAGTATTCTAGATCCGCATAAAATTCTAAGTCGAATTGGCGATGTCCGTCTCTATGTATGTTGTAATCACGCTCTTTCGAACATATTGAAATGTGAGGCTAACATTTTGCATACATGTGTATTTTGCAAGTAGGTGGTTAAGTTCGCAAGTGGGCCATGTCGGTCCAAGTTTTCGTACAGCATCCATATAACGGTATCACCGTTTATTCGGTATTTTGATGATATTAGCGACATTTTTCATGGGAATTATTTCAAATTTCGTATTCGAAGTTCATAATCAGTACTACAGCTCTTAACAAAGATTACTTATGCAGGTCCCCATGCTCGCATAGCCCCCATATAACGCATTTTATGTAAGCGGAATTTTCGACGAATTTTTTTAATTTTTATGCCCTCCACTATGGAATAAATTGAGATAGAAGGCTAAAATTTTGCACACGTGTTTCTTTTTCCAGTAGGCAGGTTAAGTTCGTGAATGGACCATGTAGGTCCACGTCTTCATATAGCCCCATATAACGGTACCTCCCGATATTCGGTATTTTGATGATTTTAGCGACATTATTCACCGGAATTGTTTTAAATTTGGTATTTGAAGTTCGTAATGAATACTACAGCATAAGGCAGAAATTTGTCGGTGCAGGTTAACGTCTTCGTATAGCCCCCATATAACGGTACCTCCCTATATTCGGTATTTTGAGAATTTAAGCGACATTATTCACCGGAATTGTTTCAAATTTGTTATTTGAGATTCGTAATGGATGCTACAGCCTGTGACAGAAAATTGTCTGTGCAGGTCCAGGTCTTCGTATAGGCCCCATATATTAGTACCTCCCTATATTCGGAATTTTGACGAGTTTAGGTACAATACCCACCGAAATTGTTTGAGATATCGTATTTGACGTTAGTAATGGATGTTATAGCCTGTGACAGAAAATTGTCTATGCTGGTCCAGATCTTCGCACAGCTCCGATATAACGGTACATCCCTATATACGATATTTTGATGATTTTAGCTGCATTATTCACCGTTTATTTCAATATGGAAATGGCTAATGGCAAACAATGTCTATGTAGGTCCACGTCGTTTCCCAATAAAACGGGTATATTCGGTATTTTTAAAATTTTAACAGATTTTTTTAGGGATTATATTTTTTTTTTTGAAGATTTCCAAATTCGTTCCAAATGGTGGAGGGTATTCAAATTTCGGCCCGGCCGATCTTACTGCTTTTTAACTTGTTCAATTTCTTTCCAATTGGAGAAGGGTGTCAAAATTTCGGCCCAACTTTGCTGCTTTTTTTTACTTGTTTTTTTTAAATACTCTCAGATCCGATATGTCACTTTTTATCAGTATCAAATTGGGAGACTATGGCAACAAGACATTTAAGTCAGTCCTCTTTAAAATTGATTATTTTGTCTATAGACAGGAATTTTAGCCGAAAATGTTATTTGTATAATATATCGTATATCAGAGTTCGTCGTAGTAGTACTTTGTATTGGGGGTTCCTGTTGGTGGTAGGTTTGCGATAAAGAAGTGGTTTACAAGTGCACTACTATATTTGGTACAATTTGGTATTGGATGAACAGATATTGCTTGAAATCTGAAAATTGGACCGCCGTTCATATGGAGCCTGGACATATTGAGGTGGTTTCGGAATGGTACTGTATTTGATATTGGGTGAGGGGATAGAGATAAAATCCTAAAATTTGACTGAAGTTTGACTGTTGGTGTCTGTGGTTGAGGGAATAAACTGGTTTTGTAGTTGTACTAAATTACAGAAATGTGATATTAAGGTCAATGTTGTTATTTGAGAATTGAGCTAAATGTCAGAAATAGCATCAAATTTTAGAATAAGTTTAGATTTGTTCGAATAGGTCACCTTTGGCATGAATTATGGTCTTCAAACGGCCAATGAAACCTTCACGCGCCGCACGAATGTTGCTCTGCGGTATTTTGGCCCATTCCCGGCGAAGCGCTTGCTTGAGGTGATCGATACTTTGGTATGGTTGGACACAATAGTCCAACGAATTGGCATCCGAAGATTTTGGTCGCCATTGTGCGCTGGAAGAGGAACCTAATTTTGTAACCATTGTTGGGTGGCACTGAGTGCGATGGTGTTGAGTCCTGTTGGAATGTCCAAGGTCTGCGGCCAAAATGTTTGCGTGCCCAAAGCTTTAATACACCCTCCAGAATATTTTCGCGATAATATTCATCGTTTATTCTGATGATATGGTCGATTAATATGAGCGGAGAGCGACCATTGGCTGTTATGACGGTCCACATCATCACCATGGCCGGCGCTTGAGTTCTGGTGGCCAACCGAGTGTGCACATTTTCAGCAAGTAAGCACGATCATTTTGTTTGATTACAAACTGCTGGACAACGAATGTTTTCCCATCGGAGAAAATCAAATTCGGCAGTTCACCACTTTCGGCTAAGCGAAGCAACTCTTTAGCTCTTTTGAGTCTATTTTCTTTATGTTGCGGTGTAAATTTTTGCACTTTTTGGAATTTCAATGGCTTTATCCCGAGCTCATTTTTCAATATTTGCCGAAAGAAAGAGACACAAAAGATTTATTCACATTTAAATGCTGGAGTGCTCTAACGATAGTCACCTTTGGTTTTCCAGCCAAATATATAGAAATCTCACAATCACGCTTAAATTCCATCACGGATAACTTTTTTCTTTGAAAAATGTTGTCAAACTAAACAAATTGTGCATTTTGAGTACTAACAATTCCTAAGACGAAGTACTTCTTCCGCAAAGATCAAAGCCTGAAGATGAAGTTCGATAGAGTTTATGTTTCAGCAATTTTTTCTCTATGTCAAGAAAAAGCTCCGAGTGCAAATCAGAATTCTTAACGGGTTTGGAAGATATGAGACTGACAATCATCTTTTTTGACTCCAAACTTTTAAATGTTGGCAACCAAAGCCGGGAAACGTGTCTTCTTATTTTTCGTCTTATATCACGCTGCGGTGTCAGAATATTCCTATTTTTAATGACTTCTTTATGACGCCCAAATTTAATTAATAATTCTTAAATTTTTTTCTAATATTTTTCATTCTTCCCTTTTTGCAGACTCACAACAAACCAATGTTCCTAGCGTGAATGCCGCCAAAAAGAATTCATCACGTCGTAATGCCTGGGGTAATCTCTCCTATGCTGATCTGATAACACACGCCATTGGCTCGGCAAGTGAAAAACGTTTGACTTTGAGTCAAATTTATGAATGGATGGTGCACAATGTTCCATATTTTAAGGATAAGGGTGATTCGACTAGTAGTGCGGGCTGGAAGGTAAGTCAACCAGTAGGATTACTCTCATAATTACCTTCTTAAAAATGCTAATTCTAACAATTAAATTAAATTTAAAAAAATAAATGAAATTCCAAGCTTAAAATCTAATTTAAATATTGACATATTTTTTTGTGCCTATATTATGGAAGCGGCAAAATCTAAGATATATTTCAAATATTCCAGTTAAAACATTAAGTACGGGCAAAGCTTTGGTTAGTCTCTACGACCGGCATTTGACAATCAAAACAGAAAAAGAAAAACAAACACTTTACAATTCCAAAAACAAAGAACACAATGTGAAACACAATCATGACCCTGAACTTGAAATCAGTTCAGATTCTTTGTTAATTGCTTTTTTTCTTTTCGTTTGATTAATTTTTGTTTGTTCATACTTCCTACCTTCAATAAAAGCAGACAACAACAAAAATGACTAATATCGACAAACAAAAAATCGACTTTGTTTGTTACGAAGCACGTGCGAGAGCAAAACACTAAAAAAAGCAACTAAAAAGAAAACCAAAACCCCAAAAGAAATAAAACCAGTCAGGGGGACCCAGTCAGCATTTTTTGAAATTTTTAATCACATTCGAGTCTTTTTTGATCCGGTCGCGCGATTAAAAATGTGGAATATGCGCGCATTTTCTGATCATAAAAGACACATTTGTCGGGAGAAAAACGTGACCTCCCGCGACTCTTCTTAATAAATCACATATGAGTCTTCTTCTAGATTAGTTAAGAGTCTTTTTCGACTATTTTCTGATCGTTCTACGAGTCGTTTTCGAATCGTTTTTTAATCATTTATTGTGCTAAAACTTTTAATTTGTGAATCTTTTTCGAGTCTTTTTTAACTCATTTTTTGATCATTTACGAGTCCTTAGTGAGTCATTTATTAGTCTTTTAAGTGTCATATGTCACTCATATTTATATTCATTTACGAGTCTTTTTTAAGTCGCCTTTGTCTTAAATTCGAGTCATTTATGAGTCCTATATGAGTGTTTACGATCCTACGAATCTCGTACGTGATTTCTAAATATTGGGATGTACCGTGAAAAAAAGAATTTGTTTATATTTGTTTATAAAATAGTTTATTTAAAATAAAAATAATTCAACTTTTATAATTATAATTTATTTAGTAAATGCCAGTGGTAAAAAATATAGTAAAAAATTAAATAAAAAAAGAAAAAACAAAAAAATAAAAAAATCAGGAACTTCAATCTGATCGTTTTCTTTTTGTAACCCGGTCTCGAGCGTGAACAAAATGTTTCTGAAGGATTGTGTTCATATCCTTGTCGTTACTTGTGTATTTTAGATGACAAATATCTGAAATTAAATATGTACAAGTCTGTCCATTTTACTAATTCTTTATATACGTGTTAAAAACACAAACTTACTTTTGATTACTGTCACTAAATAACACTTTTCTGCACTTGGCTTTACACTGGTGCCCTTCCAGCTGTATTGGCAGGCTAAATTGTCAGAAAAAATCTTTCGAACGGCAGCCCGAAGGAATTGAGGGGGTCCTTCACCGCCGGTTTTTGCAATAAATTCTTTCTGGAAACAGATTATCAAAAAATATATAAGTATTAATATATTGCAAAGTAGTGAATTAATCAATCAAAGACCCAATTTTGTATACTTACAAATTGTTTAAGTATCGTTTCATTTTGCTGCACCAATTCATTTTTTGCCATCCTTTTTATTTTAGCCTTTTCTATTTTTTTAAATTGGCTTGCTGACATTTTTTCTTTATTAAAACAATAAATAAATAAACAAACAAATAGATAAACGTACACTTTTTAATATTTTTTTTATCACTTTTTAATATTTAACACTTTTGCTGTTGACGCTTCCACGCACTTTTTATAAATGACCAATAAGTCAACTTTTTTATAGCCACTCCAGAAACGCAACAAAATGACCCGTTATGCATAGAAAAACAAGCAGCATTTAAGCACTTGTCTGTGCGAAATATGATAAAAAATACATCAATACGATCACTTTTCAAACAGCTGCATGATCTTTTTAAGACTAATCGTTTTTCAATCTGTACATGATCGCAATATGATAATAAATAACGGAAAAACAGTCACATTTTGCACATCCCAATGATTGATTTTTGATTACCATACATTTTTTTTTATAAAATTAAATGAACTCTTTTTACTCATTAAGGGGGGTTACTTTCGAGTCGTTTTGTGATCGTACAGGTGAGTTAATCATTTTTTGATCACCAAAAGGACTCGAATAAGATTCTGCGAAGAGATTTTTTTAAAAACAATTTTCATGTACAAGCTGGGTATAATCACTTTTCAAACAACTGCATGATCTTTTTAAGACTAATCATTTTTCAATCTGTACATGATCGCAATATGATAATAAATAACGGAAAAAATAGTCACATTTTGCACATCTCAATGATTGATTTGCGATTCCCCTACATTTTGTTGTTGTATTTTGGTTGACCTCTTTTTACTCATTAAAGAGAGTCATTTTCGAGTCGCTTTTCGATCGTATACGTGAGTTAATCATTTTTTGATCACCAAAAGGACTCGAAATAGACTCACCGAAGTGATTTTTTCAAACACAATCTTCCAAATGCTAGCTGGGGAGCTACGCCGCAAAGACAAACAGCATAACAACAAACGAATAACGGCATTAAAAAGAAAATGTAAACAAACAAAATATTGACGACACCCCGATACCGACACCTAACCGAAAGCGAACCCCCATAGCAGCACCAAGCACAAGCAAACATTTGCACAAACATTCAGTCGTAGATAATCAAAGCACTGGGGCACCATTGTCGTCATCATTATCGTAATATGTTTGCGAATGACCGAATTGAGTGAAAATGTTTGATCATCACAAAAACATGCAAAGTTATTGCAAACACAGCCACTGGATATTGAATTGGGAATTAGGTGAACATTTTTTTTTTTTTTTTGAAAAACAATTGCGCTGCGTTTCTATTTTGTGATACACATATTTCCTCTGGGAAAGTGTTCCACGCCTAATTAGAATGATTTTTTCCAATTTTTTTACAGACAAAAGTTCTTTATCTCTTAGCACCAAGGATACAGATTTGTTCCAGATACATATAATTTTTTTTAATATTTACGATATGATGAAGTGTCGTTCCGAAACGAAATAGGTGAATGGAGCTATTCGTTCACCTAGTTCTCATTACTCACAAAGAACCTTCAATTCATCTTGCTCTTTCGTCTTTTCGCATTATGTTGCTTCTTTTGTTTTACTAAAAATTTTTCTCAATTACAAAAAAATTCGAATTTATTTTCTTTTGTAAAATTTTTTCATAAATACGAACGATTGAAGTAAAAGGAGTTTGTGGTGGGATTTACATCCTGTGAACCCATTATATATACGTCCTCATTTTTATATTGCCCCCACATAACATTACTTCCCGATATTCGGAATTCGGACGATTTTAGACAATTTTTGTAGGGTTCTTTAAGGATTGTACTTCCTGTGGCACATTATTGTCTATAGAGGTTGACGTTTTCCTATAGCCACTATATTTCGGCACCACCCTATATCTGGTATGTATTCTGATAATTTTAGCCACATTTTTCTGCGGAATTCTTTAAAATTCGGTGTGTGGAGTTTTTAATGGTTTCTGTTTTATGTGGCAGAAGACTGCTAGAATAGAGTCACTATTTCTTATATCACCTATATTGCGATACCTTAAAATATATCTGGCACATGTAAATATTACAATGTGCCAGATTTCGACTATATCAACTACTACTGAGATATGTGATAATTTTTTAAAATTGTTTGAATGTGCGTGAGGTACCAGATATATGTATATAATATTGACATGTAGAAAAGGAATTCCATATTGAAATCAGATCTCTGGTTGAGAGAAATATTTATGCATACAAAGTATGAAAAAATCGCCTCCTTCTTTCGCAAATTATGAAAGCTATACTTTTTGAAAATTCTGCCCTTTTGTGTGGGAGATACTAGAAGGATCGGGTCGATATCTATCATCTTCACACTAGATTTGAAGAAAATTGAATGCTTATTTTATGAGCCTTATTGAAAATTTTTTCCTGCTGTGGATGAGGTACCAGAAGGAGTGGTTCGTTCCATTCACTCTCTATACAAGATTGCTGGTAAAAATATTGATATGTGTGAAACTTGAAGAAAATCGGACTCTTATTACACATTTTTTAAGAGTTATAAGTATTGAAAATGTTCACCCTTTTGGGGAGGTACTTGATAAAAGCATTAGGGTTTGCCAAATTGGATGATTCTTTCTTCGTATTCTTTCATTCAGGAACAAATAGCCGCATACTTTAAAAGTCTATTTCACAGACTAAAACTCCACTTTTGAGTTGCATTTTCCTGTTATTATTCGCAATTAAACTTTCTCTGGTTGTGCCACATACATATCTATGAGAAAATATATATTGCAAAGTCATTGACTTTAAATAAAAATGTAATGCACGTGACTGCAAACGCTAATGTGCAGAATATCCCGAACAAAACAAACCTTTGATTATCTCATGCACAATTATTGCTTTACGTCAATGAAAACAAACCTTTTTCTGGCATTAAACAAGGTAAGACATTATGAAGGCAATAAATACGAAAATATATCGGAATTTTAATTATTTTAGACCAAATTGCTGTGATTGTTGTGTAAAAAATTGAATTAATTTTTTTTATAAAGCTATACTTAAAAAATCATAATTTATTCAATATTAAATGTGATAATTCGAACCCTGATCTTTTTAAATACAATTTTCACAGGGTGATTTGTAACCCCTACATATATATGTATGTAGTCTTTGTCAAGTGGTTTTAAACTCAGTTGTTGTTTATACCATCTCAAATAAAAATAAGCCCCTTCCATTTCTTCAACAACATCCTCAAACTACTTATTTGAAAAGAAAACTATTTTTTTAAATATTTAATCGCTTACTCATATCAGGCATTTATGTTTGTAGACACAGATCGATAAAAATATCTTTTGGAATCCAGTTTACCTATTTAAACATAACTGATACAAATGACAACTGGGCGACTTTTACGTCAACAAAACAAAAACAAAATTGTAAACAAACAAACAAATGTTTGATGTTGAAAAACGAAAGGCTGGCTCTACGACAACAAACTAAAACCAGTAAGGAAAGCTCAAAAGTCGGGCGGGGCCGACTATATGATACCCTACACCACTATGCATATTTAGTAGAGCTCTCGTAAAAAGGTTAATACAGGGCATTTCAGAGCTCTATGAGATATTTGGTACAAAATCAAAATCTATCTAATTCTATGGTGCATTTTACGAACTATAGCTATCTCTGAACCGGGTTTCTCCAAATTTTACGTATTAGCTGATGACTGACTGATGATTTGGGGTGATATTGACCATTTAGTGCACATTTAACCCGAAATCGGATGAAGATATATATGAGAGCTATATCCAAATCTGAACCGATTTCGATAAAATTTAAAACAGCTATTCCTGTGCTCTTATATCTTATATCTGGTACCAAATATCATTCTTGTGGAGTGCATATTACGAATGTGAGAGGCTTAAACACCAAATCGGATGAAAGATATATATGGGAGCTATAGCTATATCTGAACCGATTTTCTTCAAATTAGATACACTTGTTTCTAGGCCGAACTCGGTTGGGTGTGCCAAAATTCAGGTAATTTGGACTGATAGAGGACATTTGCTGCACATTTAACCCGAAATCGGATGAAGATATATATGGGAGCTATAGCTGTTTCTGAACCGATTTTCTCCAAAGTTGTTGTATTAGCTTTAAGGCTAATCTCGGTCACATGTGCCAAAATTCGGGTCATTTGGGCTGATATTGGCCATTTGGTTGTCAATTAACCCGAAATCGGATGAAGATATATATGGGAGCTATATCCAAATCTGAACCGATTTCGATAAAATTTAAAACAGCTATTTCTGTGCTCCATCTAATACCTGGTACCAAATATCACGGTTGTGGAGTGCATAGTAGGAATGTGAGGGACTTAAAGATCAAATCGGATTAAAGATATATATGGGAGCTATAGCTACATCTGAACCGATTTTCTCCAAATTTGATACACTTGCTTCTAGGCCGAACTCGGTTGGGTGTGCCAAAATGCAGGTAATTTGGACTGATAGTGGACATTTGGTGCACATTTAACCCGAAATCGGATGAATATATATATGGGAGCTATAGCTGTTTCTGAACCGATTTTCTCCAAATTTGTTGTATTAGCTTTAAGGCTAATCTCGGTCACATGTGCCAAAATTCGGGTCATTTGGGCTGATATTGGCCATTTGGTGGTCAATTAACCCGAAATCGGATGAAGATATATATGGGAGCTATATCCAAATCTGAACCGATTTCGATAAAATTTAAAACAGCTATTCCTGTGCTCCATCTTATATCTGGTACCAAATATCATTCTTGTGGAGTGCATATTACGAATGTGAGAGGCTTAAACACTAAATCGGATGATAGATATATATGGGAGCTATAGCTATATCTGAACCGATTTTCTCCAAATTTAATATACTTGCTTCTAGGCCGAACTCGGTTGGGTGTGCCAAAATTCAGGTAATTTGGACTGATAGTGGACATTTGGTGCACATTTAACCCGAAATCGGATGAAGATATATATGGGAGCTATATCTAAATTTGATCCGATTCTCACCAATTTCAATAGGGTTCGTCCTTGGGCCAAAAAAATATTGTTTGGAAAATTTCATCTCAATCGGATAATAAATGCGACCTGCATTTTGTTCACAAGAATACATGGACAGACGGACGGACGGACGGACAGACGGACTGACATGCATAAATGGACTCAGAAAGTGATTCTATGAAGGTTCTCAAAAGTAACTATGGGTCTATCTCGTTTCCTTCTCTATGTTACAAACAAATGCACAAAGACATAATACCCTTACCACTATGTGGTGTAGGGTATAAATATGCGGACAAATATATCAATAAACTTGCTAATTGTTAGAGATACAATGAAACTATA